TACCTGTATTTAATCCTGGAGAAAATTGGGAAGAGTTTTGGTCTATTTTTAAAGCAGCTGTGCATGATAGGAGTGACCTAGCACATGCAACTAAATTATTTTACCTCAAAGGGCAGATAAGAGGAGATGCTCACATGCTCATACAAGCCTTTCCCAATGTAGATGATTCTTACAAAGAAGCACTTGACTTGTTGAAGGTCACTTATGGTAATACAGAACAAAGTAGGTTGGATTTAGTGAATATCATTGTTAATTTAAAATCTCCAGATCACACTTACAAAGGTTTACAGCAGTTTAGAGTTAAACTGCAGAGCATTCTCAAAACTTTAAGTAATAAATATAATCTGAAGGAATCAGACGGTTATTGAGTGCCATTGTACAGAATAAATTAAGCTGTAAAACACTTGAATGGACCTCAAACAAGTATCACAAAGGTTATTTTGGTCTGGAGGAAATAAGACTAGGTCTACAAGAATTAATTGTTCAGTTAAAGATGCAACACACAATAACTCTGAGGTATCTGTCAAGTTTCACAAGGGGAAAAATTATCCCAATGTTAATCAAAATTCATTTCCTAAAAAGAGTTGCATAGGTACATATCAAGTAGCAGGAATCAGAAATAATGATTCTTCACAAGGTAAGAAGAATAAGTACCCTCCTAAGAGTAGCCCAGTTAATAAGAAACCAATCAAAGAAAAGAGAGATTGTCTTTTCTGCAAGGGTACTCATTTTTCTAAGAATTGCAATGCATACAATTCATGGAATGATAAAGTTGAAAGATTGGAGGAACTTGACAGATGTATCAGATGTCTAGATAATCACAATGTAAAGGATTATCATGCCAAATTAAACAACTGTTATCAATGTCACAAAGGAAGACACCATACAGTCATGTGTAAGGGTCTATATGATAATGTTGATAATAACGATAATGTTGACAATCCTGACACAACAGTGGCTAATATAAAAATTGTTGCTGATGTAAATAATGATGGTTTTGCTGAAGTAGCCTTACCTGTGTTACACGTAAAAATTGATGACAAAAGGCATAAATCAAAAAATTTAACTGCATTATTAGACCAGGGATCACAGCGTACTTTCATAAAACGTAAATGTCTTGATGGTATGAAAGTACAGATGGGAGATCCCACAACTCTAAAATTATCTGGTTTTCTCTCAGATAAAAGGGATCAATTGTATGACACGGTTTATGTAACTGTCAGGTTGGGCAATGAGAAAAAACGTGTTAATGCAGTAATTGTAGACTTCAAGAGAAAATATCTACAGTACGGCTTAGTAAAGCTACAGAAAGACTTTCACATAATGGAAATTTAGCACCTTCTGGTGTAAACGATGATTCTGTAGGCCCAATAAATATTTTGATAGGTAGTGACTATTATGGCTCCTTTGTAAAGGGTATGGTAAAGAAATGTGGTGTCACCCTTTTAAAGACTGCAGGAGGCCATGTAATGTATGGTAGGATTCCTCATAATAATAATGCATGACTAAAGGAAACTATAAATACCATAACTGTGTGTCTTACTCATGAAATCGTACCCCAATATAATTCTTCCATAGAGGATGGTGTTGAGCCAGTGCATAAATTGTGGGAATTAGACAGCATTGGAATAATTGTAAATGAAGAAAGTCCAGACAATTCTTTTACTCAGGAACAATACCTGAGAGATGTAAAATTTGAATCTGGACAATACTGGGTACGACTTCCGTGGAGACTGAATCATCCAGAATTGCCCACTAATTACAGAATGGCATATGGACAATTAAAGGCTCAGCTCCGCGAACTGAGTAAGATGCCAGAATTGTTAACTGCCTATAATGATATAATTACTGAACAATTAATTAATAAATTTATAGAAGAGGTACCTCCTGAACAAGCCAAAATTTATGGTCACTATTTGCCACATAAAGGAGTGAAGAAGGACTCTAAGACCACACCTTTGAGGATTGTTTTTAATTGTAGTGCCAGGAGTAACAAAAATGTACCTAGTTAAATGACTGTTTGATGACAGGTCCGTCGTTGACGGAAAAATTAGGAGATATTTTATTAAATTTCAGGGTGAAGAATTATGCCTTAAAGGCTGACATAAGTAAAGCTTTCCTAAGAGTGGGTTTATAAGAGGCTGACTGGGAAAGTACCCCGTTTCTTATGGCCTGAGAATCCTAGTGACCTACTTAGCCCTCTGAAAACCTTTCGCGTTAGGAGTGTATTATTTGGTGCTACATCCAGTCCGTTCCTACTTACTTCAAGCGGCGATAAATGCACACCTTAAACGTACGGGAAGTCCACTGAGTAAAGTAATGAGCAAACAATTTTATGTGGACAATTTCCTGGGTGTGACGTCAACTGAAGAGGAACTGTTAATGACTTATGGAGAGGCTAATAAAATAATGCAAAGTGCAAATATGCCTCTGAGGGAATGGAATAGTAATTCGTCCAAATTAAAGGACAAAGTAAGTAAAGATTTCCCTGGAGATGAAGTACCAAAATGTAGTAATGTATTGGGATTAACTTGGGATACTGAGAGAGATTTGTTAATGCTAAAACCTAATAATTACAGTATGCCCAATAAATTAACTAAAAGAGTTTTGCTTGCTGAAGTTTCCAAATGTTTTGATCCACTAGGTTTAGTGTCACCCCTTACTATAAGAGGGAAATTATTAATGCAAGAAGCATTGAAGCTTAAATGTGCTTGGGATGAAACTCTGCCTGAGGAATTCATTAACAGGTGGGATGAATTAATTAGTGATTATGAAAAAATTCCAATGTTGGAGTTCCCACGCCAGGTGGCCAATCCAGATGGGGAAAATATACTCCACATTTTTCGTGATGCTTCAAAATTGGCGTATGGAGCAGTTGCTTATCTTCAATGTAATAGTGTTATTTCTCTTGTTATGTCTAAGGCTAAAGTGTCTCCAATTAAATCACATACCTTACCTCAGTTGGAATTAACAGCCATTTATGTAGGTGTCAAATTGGCTAATTATGTAAGAAATAAGTTGCAGGAGATAAATATTAGCGACACTGTAATTTGGTCTGATAATGAGATATCCTTACAATGGATTCGTAATGGAAACAGTAAAATTGTGCAAGTACAAAACAGAGTCGCTGAAATTAATCAGATGCAAGAGAAGTATAATAGTTTGGGTCAGCATATGTTAACATTTAATCATATACCTGGTGAGGAGAATCCAGCTGATTTCTTATCTCAAAGTTTATCTTCTGCTAAATTTGTAAATACTGTATCATGGTTTAAAGGACCGAGCTGGTTGGTAAATAAATTGGCCTGTACAAAAGGCGTATATTGCTCCTGTTGAAATTACTGTGACCACCGCTCCACTAGTTTGTCCTTCCTTAGCCATTGATATAAATAGGTATTCTTCTTTACCCAAACTAATCAATGTAACTAAGTTGGTGTTTAAATTTCTAAACAAGATGAATATCTCATATAAGTTTTCACATCCTCTTGAATATTGGATAAAGAGGGTACAGGAAGAAATCTATGGAAATGAGATTAAATTGATGATGGAAAGTAAAATTGTGAAAGGTTCCATAATAGAGAAATTGGGGCTGTATTTTGAGAACAATGTAATTAGGTGCAGAGGTAGGTTACAAAATGCTGAATTGGGTGATTATACTAAACACCCTATCTTACTGCCCAAAACTCATCATCTAACAAATTTAATTGTTTTAAATGCCCATAAAAATGTAAAGCATGGTGGGGTACAAGATACCTTAAATTGTATTAGGGAAACTTTCTGGATTCCACAAGGACAGCAAAGTGTAAAAAGGGTGATTAAATCTTGTGTAATATGTCACCGTGTGGATGCCAGATCCTATATGTACCCAGGTCCTCCACCATTGCCAAATGAGCAATTTGAGTCATTTAGCAACAAACTCCGCCCAGCCGCAGTGTGGAAAATACTGTATATTTTCCAAAAATACAGTGTATTTTAAAGAAGAGAATCGAGAGGGAAGCTCTGCGCCTGTGCTGAGGGGCAGGGGGGAGACGCCATTGTTTTTTAATGTGATACAGGCACGCTAATATAACTCTAGGAGTTATATTGGGCTTAAAACCTCTCAAATAGGAGCCGAAATTGTTGGATGTGCAGTCCTGCATAATGTGAGCATTAAGCAGATGGACAGGACGCTCCAGGAACCTCAGATAAGATATCTATGTTTATGTTTAGAATTCAGTCCAGTAATTTTTTCATAAATTTAGACAAGGGGGGTTCTGTACATGACACACAGTAATCTCCAGACTAATTGGTGAGTGTTATGATTATAAATTCTCCTTCTGTTACATAAATGTGTATATGTAATCATTTATTAATTTTTAACATAGTCCACAAATTTATAATAATGTTTACCATAATTCTTGGAAATATATATTTCATTTGAAATTAATATAGGTCAAGAGTGACTTGTGGATATGACAGCAGTAGGTATCGAAGGGGAAAGTTTTTTGCGACCTAGGTGTCTCAAAATTCCTACTTGTCTAAGTAACTTTGATAAATAATAATTATCTTTGTTACCATTTACTGGTATGTACCTTATGAGTTACATCCAGGTAAATTTAATTTTCCAAAAATACATTTAGTTCACAACTGAGAGGATATGTACCCTATGAGGCAGGATGATTAGGAAAGTCAACACTTGCTGCCTGTTACCAGCAGTCAATAAATATCTGGGAATTTGTTGGCAGTTGTGGGTCGCATCCTGGGATAGGACCTAAAATATACCCCAATGGCTATAAACCACACTGACCGACTTTCTTTTGTTATCCTACGTTTTTAACTATTCGGGATTAATAACCTAAATAAAGCCTTCTTCTTCGTAATAAAAGTTAAAGTTAAAAAAAAAAAATCGATTATTCAAATGGTCTTCACCTTTAATTTACCACATGTTGAGTGATCTACTTATGTGCACATTATTATTACATTACGCTCATGAGTTTAACAGTAGCATAATTTATAATTACCGTGTGTTTTCTCAGGGATAGTTGCAGTATACAGATATAAGATACAAAGAACCAGCAGCAAGCGTCTAAAATGGTGTTATTGTTAGAGTTAAAGGTTGCAGTAAATGGAGGAGCCGCACAAACATTACCGCTGCAATTCTCATTTTTACTTTGTGCCGCCTTAGGGAACAATAATAATAATAATAATAATATCTTTATTTACTACAAGTACATGTACATGGTATACAGGCCTAACTGACATCAATGACATACTACTATACAGAAAGCCCATTGTTATGCTGAACATTTCGGGCAAATTAGGTCAGTGTACCAGGATGCGACCCACGCCCAGGTACCCATTTTACTGATGGGGAACATAGACAACAGGTGGAAAGAAACACGCCCAATGTTTCTACTCTGGCTGGGAATCGAACCCAAACCCTCGCCGTGTGAAGCAAAAGCTTAACCACCAGGCCACCAGAGCATTACATGTTCATCCTAGTGGTCTATGCTCATTTGGTGAGAGATATTGAAAAGGAGAAATATTACAGAGGTTATCAAGAGTCATTGTCATACCCCACTTGGCATATTTCCTTACGTTTTCATGATGGTTGATTTGCTTACTTACTTAAGAAAGACATTCAAGTCTGCATGTTACATGTTTATCAATCAAAAAAGGCATTAGTAAGTAAGCGATTTTATTTACACACAGGAATACACAAGGACAATTATCATACATAGTGTAAATTATCTAGGATAACCCAAAAAAGTCAAAGTGACTTACTTCCTGGAGTTTACCTGGAGAGAGTTCCGGGGGTTAACGCCCCCGCGGCCCGGTCTGTGACCAGGCCTCATGGTGGATCAGGGCCTGATCCACCAGGCTGTTACTGGTGGCTGCACACAATCCAACGTACGAACCACAGCCCGGCTGGTCAGGTACCGACTTTAGGTGCTTGTCCAGTGCCTGCTTGAAGACAGCCAGGGAGGTAATTGAACAGTCTTGGGGCCCTGACACTTATATTTAAACATTAAAAGTTAAAACAGCTAAGTTACTCATCTGTGTGAAAATCATTTACCATAAGAGGAGATATACTAAAAAATAAAGTAAATTGATTTATTTACATTAACATTAAAGAGAGGATCACCTTACAATAATAAGTACATGAATGTTAGCTATACAAGAAATCACTCTTCTCCCTTTCTATAACTTCATTCAATAGGTAACTTTTAGCTCTCTACCTGAACTGGCTCATGCTAGGACATGCTTTGATATGTGCAGGCAATCCGTTCCATTCCTTTACTGTTGTACAATAAGAGGTGTTTAAAGCCTGACCTGTAGGTGCTACAAAATTGTGTTCACTTTCTCTTCACTAACTCTGAACTCGATGCAGCACTAAGGGCAACTCAACATCGCCTGGGAGGACGATAGTACTTACACCATATTCGATTGTTATGCCGAGAACCAGGTAATCCTTTAATTAAATTATACATCATGAACTGTGTAACTGGGGAGCTCCCTAAATCTTAAATCAATAGCCTCATCATTCCTATTCCAAAGCCTAGAGAACAAAACGCATTTTTCCAATATCTCCTACTAGCTGCTTGTTCAAAACATTTGAGAGGATGATTCTAAATCGTCTCATGCACAGAATTAAACAGTGTCTATCTCCCCGGTTGTATGGTTTCATGTATGGAAGGATTATGCGACACTGCCTCTCCAGGTAAACCACATTTCTTACCCTGCACACTGGCAGCTCAAACAACCTTCCCTGACCTTAAATCTGCTTTGAATGTAGCCAACCGACATGTAACAACACCCAAAATGCTTCCGAATCAGAGTAGTAATTTCAACTTATTTTAGGTCACTAATAAGAAAGTCCATGGTTAAATTGTTTGTAGATCTCTACTTTCATATACACCTACGTGTCCACAACAGGTTCCAACATACTTACGGTAGTGTGTTGCTTACCGCATCCACAGGCTCGACTGCCATTCTTATTGTTCCAGCAGACATAGAAGTTGGTTGAGCTGTGCATGTTTATAGTCTGAATGAAAGGTAGTGATTTTCGTGGCAAAACACGTCGTCATCTGTGGAATATCCAAGCAGATGATGTGAAGATTTTTCAAATTTCGTATCCGTCAGCAGCAGATCAACGATTTCTTCCTTGTGTAAGGCCATTTAGTTGCCGTGCCAACAATATTAATGGTCTAATGGAAGCACTTAGGCATCGACTAATGCGAACCCAGTCACTGAAGTCTGTTCAAAGATTCATTCAAAACGAATCTGAGCATACCTGGGAGCGTTCCGGGGGTCAACGCCCCCCGTGCCCAGGTCAGTGACCAGGCCTCATGGTGGAGCAGGGCCTGGATCAGCCAGGCTGCAACAGATGGCCGCACGTAATCCAACGTACGAACCACACCTGGCGGGTCAGGTACTGACTTTTAGGTGCCTGTTCCAGGCCTGCTAGAAGAAGCCATGGGTCTATTGTAACCCCCTGATTTGATTTTGATTTGCCACCGAAGTGGCCTAGTTTATTTGTGCACCCCATATCCATCCTGTGGACGGTAGCGCGAGAGCAATGGATAAACACAGTCAGAATCTTGGCCCCCAAAGGGTTTAACAGAATACATATGGATTTAATAATCTACATATCTATAGTTCACTTATCTGTATACAAGCAAATTTAGGAATTTTTGCTTAGTATATCTGGTTTATCTTATTTTCATTAATAAAGATACTTGACATGTCAACATAGAGTTTTATACTGTCTGTTCTGTATTCCCTCAAATACGTGGACAATTAAGCACATAGTGGGTCAAGAGAGTGACCATATACCTGATCACATAATTTACATTGTAGTATGATCATCTGTAGTGTCACCCAAACCTGCCCCAGAATACACTTTGTAACCAAGCCTAAGCAGGCCCCTACAACATCAGTCAGTCTTTTCACATTGCCCGTTGCTCCATAAACATACTTCATCTACGGTTCATGTTATAGTGGGTCATAGGATCTACCAGCTTCTAACTCCATCCCTATAACAATCATTTTCATTATTTACTTTCACCATAATAGTATTCTAATGCTAGACACAGTTATACCAAAGTTATATTCTAACATTCTCCTCTGGTACTCTTCTTGGCTAACATATCAACTTTATTTATCCATGTTGTAGTGATACTGCTCCTGTGGGGAGCAGCAGCAGATAATACTGCCACCACCTCTCGGGGCCTTAACACAACACAACAAGTTTGGGTGTATGTCATGGGGCGCCACACAGGTGTGTTGATTCTCTTACTCTTTCTATCCATATATTATGATGCATATTACATGGTAGTTTTTAAATCGTGGGCCTGTATTCTAACTTTTACTCTTGACTTATGCAAGACATCACCACCTGTAGAAGCCGTTTATTAATGTACAAGTCATTATATTTTGTAGTTTGCCAGAAGTACTATTAAGATTCTATGTTACAATAAAGCCTAGAGATAAGGCTGTGTTTCTAATCACAACAATTTTAATTGAACATAGAAACCTGGGCTACCTGGTGTTGATTTCTGCGCTAGTCTACATCACAACATAAGAGCGTTAACTGAAACTGAGAGGCTAGACTGTGACCCCAGCTATCACAACGGTGCTCAGGAATGAACCCTGGTTTAAGGACTTTCGAAAACTTCTTGGGAGCCCTTCCCTAAAGAAGATCTAGATAAACAAGTCTGCTCATCAGTTTATTGTCACCTAAGATATATGAGGCTATTTCTGAGTGTAATACCTACGAAGGATGCTATCAAAACCCTCAAGTCTCAGTATATAAAACCTACAAATGAAATCTTTGCACGCTAGCGGCCTTCAACTCGCCGCCAGCAGAATTGATGAATCCTTAGGAGGAATACCTTCAAAGCACATGAAAATTTTAGGGTAAGTACTGTCACTTCCCAAGCAGTGACAGCTGCTCATGTATTGGTGAAGAGTCCATCAGGAGCTTTTATCAGTGGCCGCAATCACCAATAATAAGGCAGCGTTTATTGGGAATAAAATCCTCGACTTAGCCACTGCCTTTGACCAGGCAAGAGCTCTAGATTCAGCCCAGAAGATTCTGAAGTATACAGTAACACTCAGCCTTCCGAGTGGAAATGCGCAATTCCTTGAACCAAGACTCTTGCAATGAAGTTCTGTGGAACCTGCCTCACCGACAGCAGCAGCAGGAAAGGTGTGTTTCTTTTGTGGTTTTCAAGACAACCACGTCCAAAGTGTCCTGCTCGGGGAGCAATGTGCCAATAAATGCCCACAAGAAAGGTCACATTGTTAAAATATGTATGCAATGCAACAACAAGAGCTAGTGCCGCCTCCCACCCATTTCCAGTGATCATGTGACTCTAGCAACAGTGTCTTCCTGCGGCTACTCCAAATTCACTGTCAAAGCAGTTGTAAAGTAATCATCAAAGGAACAAAGTAGATGGTCTTATTGATAGTGGCAGCTCAGAGAGTTTCATCACCTTGACTTATTAAAACACCACTCCTTGAACTGTACATCACTCAACAGGTACAGTTTCCATGGCATCAACATGCTCCTCTATTCAGACCTAGGGTTTTTGAAAGGTAAATCTCAGAGTTTTAGTTATTTAGTTAGTTTAATATGTTTATTATGCACCCCATACCCACCAGTGGGCGGAGTCAATAGATTACAGAGGTACATAATGGTCCAGGGACTGGCCTCAAAGTTTTAGATAGCTGAGCAAGTACAGAGGTACTGCATCAACAATTTTACAAAGGTAATGAACTCACAAATACAAAGGTAAATGAACTCCAGGTAGGTCTAGTCACAATCATTACAAGTTACAAAGTCTTTTTTTTTTACAAGGAATTAAAGAGGAACACAATGTGGGTCCAGGACCAGGCTCGGCTCCAAAGTTTGAATGGCTGAAACTAGGTACAAGGTAATGAACTCCACCAATTACCAAAGGTATTGAACTCCCAAGTTACAAAGGAATGAATATACTGTAAGAAATTGGTTACTTACTTTATACATGGCTGCAATCATGAACAAATTTTAGAGTAATGAGTCAATTCCACTTTCCACACCCGGTCACAAACTGTATGAGTTATTGGTGCAAATGTT